AAAAAAAAAGAAAGAAAAGAAAAAAAATGAAAGCAAACACACTCTTTTAGGTCTTTCATGCTGTTGGAGCAGGATGTTGTCCATAGAGAATATTCTGACCTTCTAGTCTGAGAATAAAACATGAGGGAAACTAGAAAATGGTTTTCCCTAAAACCACTTCAACTGGGCAAAAGAACCTGCACACCATGTACTCCATCTGCACATTCTATCTTTGTTTTGTGGACTAAGCTCTAGAGAATAAAGTCCTCTGTAGTACATGCTGGAAGAAGTCACTCCTGGGCAGTTCTGAAATGTCATTTATTAAAATAACGACAGATCAAGGCCAGAATCCAAAAGGTTAATCTAGGACAGAAAGAGAAATAGGCATTCATATACAGGTAAAACAAATGAGATCTAATAAATACTGAAGTAAACATGCTGGATGTATCAAATCTAAAGGATCAGCACAAGATGAAAGCAGCGACTGACAATTCACCAATCCAGTACAATGTTTCATGAGACACAGCATGTAGTATCTGAGAAAACTTAAACATAAAATATTTCTTTCCTTCACATGCTAATCCTACACAAGTCAGACAAACACTGCCTTAAGGAGACTCCCTTTATTATTTCTTCTTCTACAAGCCCACAGACTCCCTTTTCTGGAGTCTATCTTCCCTTTAATCCAAGGCTTTGCCTAACTCCATCATCCCAGGGAGACCTCATTAGGAAGATGCCTGGTCTTCATACCCAGCCTCTTCAGAACGACTTCCCAGAACCTGGTTTAGTTATGGGACCCAGGGATATATATGGCCTTGGGTTTCCATTCCCTAGCCCTCTTCCAGCCTCCCTTCCTTCCTCTGTTGCTAGTCATGATTTCTATCTCCTTGAATTCCTCACTCTGTCTGATCTTATTCCATCTTCCCCACCCTATCCAGCCATGCTTCACTTCTGTTTTCCCTCATCCCCGTCTGGTGTCTCCCTTAGTTTTCTGCATCCTTGGGCCACAACCAAATCTGCAGACCTCTCTCCAAACCTACTAAGTCCCTAACCCCCAAATGACCCCTTCAAGCGTCTTCTCCGCCCTTAGCTGTCCCCATGGCAGCGCCCCCCCCCCGCGCCGCGTCCTCCCTCAGCTATCTCCCTCACCCCGTGACTCACCCGCATGCGAACCTCATAGGTGGTGAAGCGCGCGCGGCCCACGCCCACTGTCTGAGGATTAAAGATGTCGATCTCCAGGAAGTTACTTGGCGGCCCGTAAGCGTCCGTCAGGTCCTGAGGCTTCGAGTTAAGGCGCCGAGTGTCAGCGACTGCTGTGTCCGACATCTTTCCAAAGGAGAGTGGGACTGGGAAAGGGGGGGTGGGGGACAGTGGCTGGAGGCAGGAGCGCGCACAGCCCCTCCCGCTTGCAAAATAACCAGCCAACCCACAGTCAGCGGCGCCGCGCACGCGCACCCACGCACGCACGCACGCGCACGCCGCCCCGGGCCCCGGACCCCGCGCCCCGCTCCCGGCGCCCTGAATACCTGCCAAAGGGACTGCAGTGCGTCCTTAGAGTGGAGGCCTCATTCAGGCTCCCGGGTGGTGTTTGTGGCTGCCCCAGAACCTGCATCTCAAATACGCACCACCCAATACCCTAGGAAGCACCATAGGCAGGTTTGGCCAATCGCCGCTCCGTAATCCAAGAAATTGTCTCCTATCGTTTATCAATCATTAGTGGGTACTGCCCCATAAGCTAGAATCCTACGGTGATAGGCCGAAGCCCTGTGACCTGAATAAGTCCCGGTTTTCCGCGAAAATAGAAGGGTGGTCTCTGGAGGGTGCGAGTCCAGCAGTAGTACCAAGATCTCAGAACACAACCCTGCCACTTGGGCCACTGATAGTTTCAATTCATGCCACACACACTTGAGCACTCAGCACTATATATGGTGCCAGGAAAGTAGCGAGCAGCTAGAATGAAGTAAACGAAGATATTTCTCATTCTTTTCAGGAAAATTTGACATATCTTCATCCTCCACTTGTTGCCACCTTAAAGCTAACTCCAGGTGTACTCGATATTACATTTCTCAGCAAATTGAAGGCATTTATTTCATACCTTCTATCTCCACTCTGCAGAACTCCATATTTGGCACTCCTCTGAGGCTGTTTGCAAACCATAATGGAGATAAATAAACGTCTACATGAGAACATCTATGGAAATATTAATATTTATATGACTATAGACCTCCCCCCCATTAAAAGGTAAACTGGATGGTGATTTCAGGTCATCATTCCTTCTCTTTTCCTCTGCCATCATGTGCTCAAAAATTATTTCCCTGGCCGGCGTGGTAGCTCACGCCTGTAATCCTAGCACTCTGGGAGGCTGTGGCAGGTGAATTGCTTGAGCTCACGAGTTCAAGACCAGCCTGAGCAAAAGTGAAAACCCCATCTCTACTAAAAATAGTAAAACTGAGGCAAAAAGTTGGCTTGAGCCCGAGTTGGAGGTTACTGTGAGCTATGACGCCATGACACTCTACCCAGGGCAACAACTTGAGACTCTGTCTCAAAAAAAAAAAAAATTATTTCCCATATCACCAGTGCCTGAAATTCTTTCAACAGAGTACACGCCCTTACAATATAACGATTGTTATTTAATTTAACTATTTGTGTGCCAAACACCATGCTAAACACTGAAGACCTAAAATTAAACGAGAGATTCTCTGCCCTCAAGGAGTTACCCTAGCAAAGGAAACAAGTAAACAAAACTAATATAATGTGACAAGTATAAAATAAGCAAATGTTCAAGGCAGCACATAAGATATGTATAATTGGAGGAATTAGGGAAGGGTCCCTGGAGAATGGAATATCTGAGTTTAACATACATGGAAAGACATAAAGGACAAATGTGAGTGGAAATTGGGAAAGGTGATTTCTGGGAGAGGAAATAGCCTATGTGAAGTCCTTGCAATAACAAACAGTACAGTTCAAGCTCATTCTTGAACTCTGGGATAAAGAAATTAAAAATAAAAACCCAAAATGTTAAAAAAGAAACAGCATGACATTTTTAGGCACTCGTCAACAATTCAGATTTGTTTGATGGAATTGTTTAGAAAGGTAGGCTGGCTGGGGATAGGCAGGCAAGGATGATCCATCTATATTAAGCAAAGGATCTCTGTCTTTATGATAGATGATGATAGGAAGCTTTATGATAGATGATCGGGAGCCACCGAAGGATTTTTTTTTTTTTTTTTTGAGACAGAGCCTCAAGCTGTCCCCCTGGGTAGAGTGCCGTGGCATTACAGCTCACAGCAACCTCCAACTCCTGGGCTCAAGCGAGTCTCCTGCCTCCGCCTCCCAAGTAGCTGGGACCACAGGCGCCCGCCACAACGCCCGGCTATTTTTTGGTTGCAGCCGTCATTGTTGTTTGGCGGGTCCAGGCTGGGGATTCGAACCCGCCACCTTAGGTGTACGTGGCTGGCACCTTAGCCGGTTGAGCTATAGGCGCCGAGCCCCGAAGGATCTTAATCAGGAGAAAGACATGATCAGATTTATGTTTTAGAAGGATTATTTTGCAGGTAACGTGGAAAATGTATTTGAGTTTCTGACTCAGATAACTAGGTGGATGCCGGTGCCACTAATGAAAATTGGAATTACAGAAAGAAGAGTAAATTTAGAAAGGAAGACAATGAGTTCAGTTTAGATAAATCTGAGATTTCTGTAAGACATTCAGATAGAGATGTCCCACAAGTAGCTGGAAATGCTGCCTGGGGCTTGGGAGCATGGTCAGGGTTAGAGAGATCTGGTAGTAATCAGCATACACTACAGAAAGAAAACATGAAGAGGCAAGGATAGACTTAAAATTTGGTGACAGCAGTTTTGGTGGGAATGTTAGTTCATACAATATTTCTGGGAAATAGATTGGCAGTACATATAAAAACCTTTGACTTCAAGAAACTCATAATAACTGGCTGCCTCTGGAGAGAACTAGAGGACAGGAGTCACAGGCGGCAGAGAGAGTTGCTTTTTATCAATTGTGCTTAAGTACTTTTATAATTTTTAAATTTTAAACATTATTTACCAAAACGTTTGACCCCAAAATTTTTACTTCCAATAATTTATTCTCAGAAAAATAATCAGATAATCACATAAAAATACCAGTGTAAGGATCTTTTTTTTTTTTTTTTTTGTAGACACAGAGTCTCACTTTGTCACCCTTGGTAGAGTGCTGTGGCATCACAGATCACAGCAACCTCCAGCTCTTGGGCTTAGGCGATTCTCTTGCCTCAGCCTCCCGGGTAGCTGGGACTACAGGTGCCCACCACAATGCCCAGCTATTTTTTTGTTGCAGTTTGGCCGGGTCCGGGTTTGAACCCGCCACACTCAGGTATATGGGCCCAGCGAACTGCCCACTGAGCCACAGGTGCCACCCCAGGATCTTCTTTTTAAAGAGGAAATAATTGTCCATTTTATGCAACATTTTTGTAACCATATTCTTCTAATTTGTGGATTTGTTTATATGACAAGTCTTATAAAGAGGTAGTAGATTTTATATTTTACAAGACTTTTTATCTCAGTCATTTCCATCATAAAACTAAGTCTCTTGCATAAATGGCCGAACGTGGGTACTCCTATTTTTTTTTCCTTTTTTTGTTTTAGGGAAATGTGGCCTTCAGGGAAATCCAAAAGTACACTCTCTCAGGTTCTCCTATTTATCAACTTAAAATAATGTTCTATGCTTGATAATATAAAATGATATTCATGAAAAAGTAAAGCTGGGCTCGGCGCCTGTGGCTCAAGCGGCTAAGGCGCCAGCAACGTACACCTAAGGTGGCAGGTTCGAATCCAGCCTGGGCCC